CGAGGTTTAACTATTATGAATTTTGTCTACAGCTTCTTGGGAGACGGCGTTTTAAAGAGGATCTTTTGTGAATACTGTTTAGTAGCCTCGTCTGTATCCACATCTGACCAACAGAGTACACTTTAAGTGATGATACAAAACGATGACCATACGCCGTTTGACCTATTTCGGGGCTTGTGAATGCAAAACAATGTACCGTTTAGGTTTTAATTGAGAGAGGAGTATCGCAACTTATTGTAGTGATCCAGGCCTACACGATGGCGCCTACCCTGGAGCGGCACGTTACAGTTTCAGGACATTAGCGATCAATCAAGTTTGAATGCTGACGTCAATAGCACGTGCATAGCTTCTGAATACACGTCATTGGCGGGTGATGCCAGACAATCCAAGACAATGCAGACAGAAGCAAGATTATGCAAGCAGCACTGCAATCCAATTGGTGGAAGCCCAGATAACCAATAATCTCCCTTTGTACATATTATTTAATCACCTTTATTTCTTCCAATAAATGAACTACTTACTGCCTGTCCTGTGGCCTTTTCCTCGCGTCTCGTTCTCGTGGGACATTGCAAATCCGTGCCATTGTGGTCCAGTGCTTCTGCGATCCAGTCCGTAATAGCTGATTATCGATTCGGGTCCTGCAATTCATATTGTGTGGTTGGTGTTCCGAATTCTGTGCGTATTATTACTACTACTACAATCATTACAGTTATACAGAAACACTGATGCTATACAAACTGAGTCCAATGATTTTACAATATGGGCAGATTGGTTAAACATTCTCCAATCAGCACGTGTTGCAGCATGCAACCCCGCAACTTCTTATTTCTTAACCAAGCTTTGAAAAATCAGCATTTGTAGAAAGTAACTTTTCTCAACACCCATTAACTTCATAATATTCCGATACGTTTTGACATGACTCACCTACTGTGGCGTGATTAAAGTCTTTGCGTCGAGGCTAAAGGACTGATCTGCGGTCCCTTATGAACGATGCTGAATTCAATATGCCAAAGTGGAAGCTTCTATCTCTACGATACAGGAGGCGATTTTCGTATTTCCTCGGAAATGAACAAATACCACACGCCGCAAGTGAGAAGGACCTGAACATCATCATTCAAGAAAACTTAAGCTGCTCACTCAACTGCACCAAGGTGTCCAACGCAGCTGTAAAGAATGTCGGTTTGCTTAAGTGTGTCTTTGGCCGGTTTGAGTCAGCGCTTGTACCCCGTCGCCCACTCACTGAGTATGCTCTCCAGGCATTGAATCCATGGCTACAACTTGATAGCAAAATGCTGGAGCGTTCACCAAGGATGGCCACCGAAATGACCACGGGGTTGAATGAGTGTTCATACGCGGAGAGATTTAAGTCACTGGAATTATATTCCACTCATTGCCGGCGCATCAGAGGAAATATGATTAATGCAAAACCCAAGCTATCCGTGTCACCCGCTTCTCAACTTATCACCCAACATTCATCTTAGGAGACATCCATTCAAACTAGTGGTCTCAAAATGCCGCTTGCAATGTCGGCGTCAGTCATTCTCAGTCAGAGTGTGTTCGATCTGGAACTCTCTCACATCCGACGTCGTCTGTGCTCTAACCATTGAATCTTTCAAACTGAGAATCGATGAAACATTAGCATACCTTACATTCCAATATAAGTGAAGTTGCGTGCAACAGTGAAAGAAGCACGTATCATGTGACCTTTTTACACAAAGAATTGTATGTTTAACTGTTTTTTTAATCCACACACGAACCTATGGGACGAGAAAACGATGAGCTTGTAAGTTATTCCCATAATAAATCGTTGATATTTGATCTTTGATCTTTGACTACGTGTTTTGGCTGAAGGATTACCGGTCGAGGTTAAAGGCTAAAACCTTTCCGATTTTGGCTAAAGAAAACGTGGGTTTTGGTTAAAGCTTGATGGGAGAAGATGTAGTCATATTGGATCCCGTGCTCTTTCTCTCTCTCTCTCTTGTACAGTTTCATGAATTATTCTGAGACACAAACTGTTTACCCTGGAATATCTCACAGATGTTTTGATGACTCTTCACGCGTCAATGCACACACATGTATGTGCCAGCGGGAGAATACAATGTGGACATGTGATTGTATCTCGGAGCTGAGTTCAAACTATTCAACGATATGACATTTCAATCTGTACGTTTTAACATAAATCCGTTTCCAAGACTCGGAATAAAGGCTTGCGTTGAACATCTGAGATCGTTATTTTGAATGTGCTGGGAATTTGCACATAAACAAACAAAATAAATGATTCGATGAACTAGTCATTGGTATTGCCACTGATAAAAAATTAAACGGATTATTCATTCAGCTTATCTATCAATAAATCTAAAAGAAAAAGTTAAAAGGAAACAGTTTTCCAACAAAATCCAAACATGAAAAAAAAGAATTTAAAAGAATTTGAAATAAAGAAATCAAAAATAAAATAAACAAGAAAAAAACAAAAACAAAGAGCATATGATTATAAAAAATAATAAAAGGTCTACCGCACGCCGCGCACGAAAAGCCCACCACGCTCTCATACATTGTATAGCATACAGCATGCACCCGAACAATCTAAGAAATCACTCACTATTGCAGCACACGAAGGCATACAAGAAACAAACATTGCACAAAAAAGTGACACGATGCTCCCTTTGCTGGCCAGCGCTGAATGTGCTACAACTGCCGGTCTCTAATATGAGTGCGAAAGTGCGACTCCACAATGGTACTGTTAATTTCTTGTTCTTACCGCTCCTCCCTCTGTAAACCTTTTTGACTTAACTCTAAACAGTATCACCTGAAGTAATTCCTCCCGTTGTAAACCTTTTTGACTTAACTCTAAACAGTATCACCTGAAGTAAACCCCTGGTAATGTTTTCGCTGGGGCAGCTGCCGAAATATAGAATAGGTAAACGAATCATCATAACCCACGAAAACAATATTCACGTCGTAGCACCAGAGGAAGTCCCAAATCCTACTGGTGTGTGAATCTGGACGCACGTTAGGCGGAAGCCTGTTTTCGTCCTAGAAACCTGACCTGACCTGAAGCATAGTGTCCCATCTATCCAGTTCGATAGAACAAGCAGAAAACAAATACTGTTAGATGTTTACATTTCTTTTAGTCTCCTCAGTGTCTACAAGGTGAAACAATCTGACAAGTATACAGGAAAGCTGTGATAACTACAGAATAAGGTGGAAAATCAGTCCGATGTCAGTTTGACTGAATGCGTTCGAAACTTTTGTGCACTCAGGATTGTATTACATAACACGCTTCGCTGAACGCTAGGAGCCTGGGATTTTCTGTTACGTCACATCCGCTTGAATGACAAAAGCGAGTCAACGATGTGTTGTTTTTCAATTGTCATGAGATATTTTGCGGTTGATGACCCTGGATTTCTCTTATCAGGCGGGCTTCTGAGACTTTCCTGGATTATTGGCTGTAATAACCAATTGGGAGTGTGTTCGGACATCCACACATTTGCAGCTAACTTACTAACTAATCACAACGAGTAGTGATTCAAAAAGGAACATTTTCATGGATCAGGTGCCCAATGTCAACAGATCTCATTCCTCCACCGGTCTTCTTCAATGCGTCTTCTACAAATCATTACACACATGAAAGTCCGGCCATCATTCTAAATTTCACCCTTGTGATGGTTCACGGAAGTTCGAAAAGATTCAAATTCTGATCAGTTTGGTCCTATACTGCAATGATTTATATGCATAAAACATTTCCCAGTATACAGGGAGTATGTATGGTAAATGTCGAAAAAAAGTTCCAGAAATTCTATTCAACTGGGTCAGACTCTTGTCAGCAGTGCAATTAACAGCGGCGCAAATCTGCGTCCTCAGTCAGAATCCAAGCCTACTACTTCATCTCACCATCGGACAGCTGATTGGAAGAAGTGAATTTGGGGCACATATGGCATAGAATAACCGATTTTTGCTCATCTTACACCTGGCTTCATTTGTTGTGATTTGGTGGGAAAGTTTACAAACTTTAATGGATTGTACAGGAACAGTCTAGATCCAGCATTGTTGTACCGGAAAATAGTGTGAGCGTAGTAACAGAAACAATGCACAGTTGTTCGAAATTGTAGTTCCTCAACGACTACTATGTGTCAACAGACAAGCGAATGCGTCAGCCTTCCTTATCACGCCAAATTCGACCGCCTGGCTTGGGTCTGCAGTTGATTGTATGATTTCAGTGCAACGTTAAACTTCCGTGGTTTGCGAGTCTGAATTGCCTAGCATTATCCCGCTCACAATATCAGTCACCAACTTTCCCCTTTATCCATCACTTGGGAGCTTATTCATATGATTTTGTTTCACCGACTTTACTCAATTATGTTGACGAACACACACACTGTACCAATATAGGCGTTGGAATCAGACTTTATTTCTATTCTGCACTATCAAGTATAACAGACGAACAGAGGATGGTACAGAGGAAGTTAATCTTTTTCCTCTTTATACGATAAAACGACAATAATGTTAGCAGGAACTAGTACAGTCAGCACAACCTTTATCACTAGCATTTGCATTTCTACCGTTGCTGCTGCTAATACTACTTATTGTTACTACTGCTGCTTCGCTCACCACTATACGACCAGTGCGAATCCGCGTTGGTTCGTAGCCGTGGTTACTCGAACCAACGAACACAATCAGTCCTAGTCCTGAATTATTACACTGAATTTCAGGTAATATGTATGCAATCAGCCAATCACCCCTTTGCGAACTACATTTTTGTGAGATGGCGATACACAATCAAACAGTTTGGATTGGGACTGGTTTGCAATCTCTGTTCACCTAAAGTCAACAAGTCACACGCATTCACGACCGAGGTATAAGAAAAAAACCTATCAGTAACAAAATGCAGATGTAATCGCAGGCTCCGCATATCGACACTTGACTCACTTGTTCTTGTGTGTGTATGTGTGCGTGTGTTTTGTTAGATTTATGAAACGGTTGGTTCGAACATTTTCAGTCATATGCTGTAAGTTCCACCTTCCAGTGCGTGTTGATGGTTTGTATGTGCGTGTACGCCTGTGCGTGCGTGCGTGTGTGTGTGTGTGTGCGTATGCGCACGCCTACGAGTGTGTGCAACGCATTTTCTCTATCATGTGTGAATCCTGCCGTAAACTACAAATCACATTGTATGATGTCTTATCTACGCTGACAAATCCGATGTGTGTTTGAGCTGGCGAACTGAATTGGAGGTCAGTTTTTCATCACCTGATATCGGCACGTCTTGACTTCTCGACGGATGTGTTAGCATTCGAGTTCACCAATCTCTGTCGGACTGATCGAGTCACAATCATGCGTATCGATCGAAGTGAGAATGATACGCGATCATATCGGTACGTCTTTTTTACTCGAAACGGAACAGAAATGCGACTATTCTTTGTGAGACTGTTTTTAATTTCTATAGACACCGGATTCTATTCATAGCTTATAAACTTCACATTTTGGCTTACCTATTACGAGATGTGTATCATTTTGGGATGGGATCGATGATAAGTGTTACGATTGCTTTCGCTTTGTTTGAGGTTCTCAGTAATTGAAATATTCAGCGCGATAACCAACGACAAGTAATCGTGCAAGCTGTTAACTACACGGAGTGTCGAACAAATGGCTCCTGTTTATCTTAGCTAAAAGATCTTCATAATCGTACGATATGATCGAATCCTTTGAGTTCAAAATCCCCATCACATTTCTTTTTAAAATGGATCGACTGATTGTAAAGATGCTTTTTTTCCTGGCCACTCTAGCATAGTCAAATAGATGAGTTTGTTGATTCTAAAGAAGTTGCTTGCGGTGTCATCATGAGTACTGTGATCAGTTTCAGCCGGTGTACGCAAAATAGTGATTTTTAAGTTTGAAGCCAAATTTTCACTGCGCCCTGATGCATCTAATTGTGTTTGCGTAGGGTTTATTGTCTACGCGTTGCACACTTCTTCTAGGGTGAATTGGCCACCTCACAAGCACTGATGACGTCACCTCGGCTGGTGATGAAACATTTGAAAACAAATTGCCAAGCTCGGCGAACAGGCGAAATAGAATCCAGTTCACCCGAGCTACGAGAACCGATTTTCAATACTTTGTCAACTTTGACCACTGTTAAGACAGGGTCAGTGTGACCGGCACTTCTTTAGGTACACAGATTCCATTTTCCAATTGCAAACAACACCGAAGACCTAAGTAGTCAGCTTGTCTGGNCTGGTCCGGACCATGAGTTGTCATCAACAGATGTCGAGCGATAGACGACACCGGCTGTCTGTGTTCGGTGTCCTTAGGTAAGTTGATACGTGTGTGGGTTTAAATGGGGTCCAATTGGAGAAAGACCTTTGATCATGTGATTCGGTCAATCGGCATCTAACCCAACACTGGATGTGCTCCTGGACCCGTGTATGCAACTGCCTATCTGTTCTGCCAGTGTTGGATGCTCTGCTTCCACATTTAAACTGGGAAATGACGTGTGATTTGACGGACAGTGGCAAGGATTGCTTTGTAGGTGGATTGGAGATGCGTGTGGTTGTGTACAGAATGATTGGGTTGACAGAAAGATGTACTGTTCAACGATGTAAACTCTAGGTTTCTACCGTACTGTAACAGTTGAAATCCAGCAAAATCTGCCTTGGCATGTAATCGTGCAACCTAGCTTTTTTGTGATCTCTCTTCAAGTTTGTCTCAGGAAACAAACATTTCAGTTTATTTGTTTAGCTAAGGGAAACGGGTTAGGTTATCAACGGAGGACGAACTCAGCAAAAATCGCTCACGGTGGCAACCTATTCGGTGACATGCGCAGCACAACCTTGCGTAATCGACGGAGGTTGACTGCTTACTCTAGTGAACGACAACGATCTCAGCATTGCTCTTCCGGGTGCCCCACCAAATTCGTGCAATACTTCGTAGATAGCGGTGTTCGACCACCGAAAATCTATCTTTATGATGTCTTCCTAATGGCCAAGTTTCCAGGTCGTAAAGTAGAACTGGCCGAACTGTTGCAGCATATGCTCGACCCTTGACGGACAGCCGGTTGTCGAGACAGAGCCAAAAATGTCTCCAGTTGTCAAATGCCAGTCGAGCCTTCTGTATGCAAGGTGACACTTTATCCGTGATGGGTCCACCGGGTGAGATATAGCTGCTCGAATAGAAAAATGTATCTTCCTCCTTTATTACTTCTCTAATTACAGTGAGGTTGGGGGCCGGACCAAACTAATCCTGTATCAACGTTTTACACTTTCAAGGAGCAAAACGCATACCGAACATGGCTACACTAGCACTCAAACTATCCAGAAAAACTTGCAACTTACCTGGATTGTCACTTAGTAGCACAATGTCGTCTGCATACTCTGTATCAGACAGTCTGCTACCCGGGAGTAAATCGATGCCACTATCCTAGCACGAGGATAGGGCTGTTTGAAGAATTAGATGGAGAGAGAGAGAGAGAGCAACCTTGCTCTATGCATATCGTGAAACTTGAAGAGATACTGCGAGATTCCTTTTTGACGTGTTTTGTGCCAATTCACTGAGTTTTATTGGTCAACGTGTCGATCGAAATTAATGGACCGCGACCAAAGATCATCTCAGTAATGGAATATTTCATGTGAGACCATGGCGGGAAGAGCGGTGGTAGAACAGAGAAAACAAAATCGAACGCAAAACGGGAAGAGGCAGTGTACAGTGTGCAGTGTACGGAACTGTCCAAGATTACGAATCTGGGATGATGAGCTTGTGGGTTTTTCTGATACAAAAGACTGAATGTGCAAAACTAATTGATGATGAGCATCTATTTGATAAAATTTCTGCTACATTTCATATCATTTTTGCCAGTGATTCATAGATATTTTGTTGTGATTATTGTTGTGATTACTACAATGTCGTTCGCAAGAATAATAATGAAAATAATTGTTGACCCATTGTGTTTAAAGTATTCTCTACGAAATGATATTAGCAATCGAATGTGCGTGCTATTGATTTTAGATACGTGGTACTAGAAAATGGACTGAAAGCTGTTTTGGTTTCCAGAGCTGCTGCAAAACATGAAGAAAATAATAACACAACGGACAAGGTAAGCGCTTCACTATTACTGGTAGTTCGAACGTGGAACATGCTGCGGAAGTTCGGTTTTACATATCTTTACTAAACATGTAGTGAATTCATTCAACACAGAACAGTAGTGGAGCACGGATCAACTCAAGATAATACAAACGGGAACGACCGAACCGGTCGATTAACGTACTCATGCAACAGACACACAGGACACACAGTATTGATTGGTATTGTGTGAATTGCGGTAATCACAGGACAATCTTAAAAATTAAGAAAAGTATAACACAAATGTGGCAGAAATATTGATGATGATTGAATTAGAGATCATTAAGCAGCTGCTTCGTCCTGTTTGGGATTGCTACGTACGTTTTATATTCCTCTCAATACTCAAAATCTGAACCTTCGGGATTGGGAGCGGAAACCGTTGATGATCTTTAACAGATTGCCGTGCAGTTTAGGTGTATGGGTTTCTAATCCCAAAACGAGAGTTCGCAGTTCGATTCCTGGCAAAGATACTCAAATTAGGCACTGCCAACGAGTGAAGAACACAATGAAACTCTTGGCCTAGTGCTCTCCGTCGGTTATCACAAATATTTCCATCACCTACGGGTTCATTCAACGATTGGAGGAATTAATTACCTAGCCCAGAGTGAAATAAATAACTGAGATCATCAACATACCCTGTTACTTTTAAAATCATTTACCCCTTCCCTGGAAAATGGAATTCAATCAAATTTTGGGAAAACCCCTAAAATGTGAGATTATGAGAAGTGTGGATGGGTTGGGACAGAATTAAAAATAAATAAATAACTAAACAAAAATAAAGTGATCTATAGATCACTGAAAAGCGGAATCCCAAAGGGTCTCTGTTTCTCCCCTCCCCTGACATACACGGTCATGTGGGATTGTGATTTCTCGCTGTCTGAACACAGAGAATGAGCTTTGTCTTGACATTCATTTAGCCTCCTCCTGTTTCATTTCCTGAGACAGAGGAAATATTACAAAGAGCTCTTGCTGTTAGAACGAGGACAGAGCAAAACGAGGTTCTGTCTACGCGGTCAGTAAACGACGAATACGAAGTGCAGTTGACCGGGCAAGTAAAATGTGGACTGTAATCAACTATCGCGAATGGGGTTCAGTGATTGAAACTCAGACAATCAAATATCAACACAGCCAACAGGATCACAATACCTGGACTGTAAAGATGGAACTCAGTCGATGTCACTGGTGGGCAATGATTTTCTACGACAACGCTTGTGGTTTAAAGTAGCAGCACTTGCCTTTGGTGATATGTACCTTCAAGAAGTACTGTGTTCCCAAATGTCCAGAACACGATGCGTGGGATCCATTACGAGTCACCAAAAGCTGAAGGGGATTTCTTNGATTTCTTTATTGAACTGGTCGAACGGTTGCCCGCTTTGGCATAGTTGAGCTGTTTCACCGAATGGTTTGAGCGCATGCAACTGTAGATGAACGCTTGCGGAGAATAATTCGAGAAAATGTGATGCGATATGTGCATCCGGAAACGTTTTACTCAGTCCTCTTACAGTTTATCAACGGTAACTGTAGCTTTGTATTTTTCATCATATCTGTTAATTGTAAAATGAATCTGGGGAGATACTTTGGTATGCTTCCGGCAACGAATTTGATGCAAAACTGCCCCGTACCAATCAGAAACAGTATGCTTCAATAGTTTTTTTGTCAGGTATTTTTTTATTTGGCAACACACAGTGGATTGTACGTTCAAGGAACCAGAATGAGGATCTGTTTGAAAATGTGGGACTGAGTTTTCCTGTGGCCAAAATCATCGCATTGTTCGATTTGCATGACCACAATGGACTGACTTGGTTTCCGTTTGGGGACGCCATCCGAATGGTTATGGCGAAAAAGGAAAGCATCACTTTCTCGAAACAGATTTGAACGAAACAATTGGGATCGATGGATTGCAAATTTGTGTTTCGTTTAATCTTCATTACTTCGGAAATGCTAAGACCAAATCGGAATTTTAAGACACCGTCTGTATCACACACGTTATGTAAGCAAATGCATAAGCAGATATACATATCTATGTCGATTGTGAAAAGTTCAGTAGCCTCGGCGGGATTCAAACCCACGCATGGACGTCGCCTACGCTTTGTACGCGCATGCTCTACCAGCTGATAAGCTACGAGGCCACACCGACAGCACTGATCTTTCACATTTGAATTTACCCATCCAACTTACAGAGACATATGGCATCCACCAGTTAGCATGTAAGCTGACTACCCCGACAGGTTTTCCTTAGAATTCACCGGACTCCATCGAATGAGCTTCTAAGACAAGGTTAATTGTTCAAATAGTTGTTTGGCAGATTGGAAGTTTCTATGTCGAGGCTACTGAACTTTTCACAATCGACATAGAAACTTCAAATCTGCCAAACAACTATTTAAACAGATAAATACATATATATATATATATGTATATTAAAGTTAGATAGTTCCATTGATCTCATCCATTTTGGGCTGGGTTGAGTCACTTTATTACACAACTACAAAGAAACTGGTTTACCTGAAATGTAGCAGTGCCCACGATATGGATTTAACGAAATAAAATTTTTTCTCATCGGCGAAGATACACGTGGATCCCTGGTATTTTCTGCGGTTTCTTTGGTTTTAAACAGTATTCTAGCGCAGTATATCGGCTTCTTGATGTTTTGAATGACCGCTACTGAAACGGGATCCCAGAATAATTTTATCAAGCCGCGTTTTTTAAATTGCCCACAAATTTGGAGATCAAGTGGGATGAAATATACCTTTCTCCGACATGAATGAGTTGATCCTAAATGGGCCGAGAGGGGAATGTATTGCGTGCAGATACGTCCTTCTGTCCCCATCCAACACTTCTTACTATCATCAAGGGCCAAGAAACGAGAAATTACCGACTTGTTTATTAAGGTAAGATGTGCTTTTCCAAAAACTACTAGTGATGTAACTCCAGAAGACGGTGCTGGTCGAGGATAATTGTTTACTGAAGACTTTAGATGGGATATTACCAATTTGCCACACATAATACAAAACATCTTATCAGAAACATGCCACCGCCGTTCCTGGTGACACACCGGATAATCCATAGGGCAGTCGGTAGTTATTCTTTCAGACACATCACTTTGCCCTCGGTAGTCTTGTTGTATTTTTGCTCATTGAAAGAAGTCACCAATTATGTTACCTACTACTCACAAATGAGTAGTATTTCACAACACTAGTCCGTCACCACCACCACCACCCCTACTCTGTAAGCTATCTTACATTTTACTGTTGCGTTGAGCGTCCTGAATCACACACACACGGCTCGATGCGATTCTCGTTCGCAGATTCGGATTGGATTTTTGCGTATAGTGATGTGCTCATGGGGTAAAAGGACACATGTTGAGCGGCTAACTTCTTAAAGTTTCACCCATTTGCTTTATAGTCAAATCAGGATTGTTTTGCTATTGAATAATTGGTGACTGACCGATTTGTTAATGACCACAGTGAAGTTTTCCTGCAACAACAATGATATTGAGATGGATAAAACGATCCTTAAGTGTCAGATGAACGTCTCGAGGTATTTTACGGTTGTATGTATCATAAGATTGCAGGGTTCAAATAGCAGAGTTCCTAACACCATAGCAACTACCAGACTGTTACTCATTATCGACCTGAGACGTGTGCTCAGCTTACTCAGGCTGTATGCATTTCTACAGAACGCACTGATAATAGAATTTCTGCAGAACTCTGAAATCATAAAATCAATCTATAAAGATCGAATTTTGGTCTGTACTTCTTAAATATTCTTGATATTTGTGTGAAAAGACCCATGCAGTAAAACTAAGTTGATCAGATCGTTTGTTTCGTTACTGGAATCAAAATGAGCGACAATGAGCGATGGTTCAACTAGCAACCAGTTGGACGCAAGAAATCCCCGGGAATTTGTTAACAAACCAGCCTGCATTCTTCCTAAATAGTTCTTGTTCTACTCGCTGACAGATTGTTTACACTTCGTGAATTGTATTCCTGGCAAACGGAACGGCGGTATGAATAGAATTGATCAATAAAATACTGACCAATAGAATGAATTGTTTCATTTCATCCTACTGGAACAGTGATTTGTTTTGTTTTTAAATTTCATTTATAGACTGCGTGGGCAATCACAATTCCACTTGGTTCTTTCACCGACCCGAAGGAGGCTGACGGTCTGAGTGATCTGATCAGACGAAGTGAGTTCCGACTTGCCATTTGGGGTGTGCATGGAATGACCGGAGGATTATCAGCGTGCATAGCAGGTTTTCTTTCCTTTTTTCCTTTTACTTCCTTTTTATTCAATGATACAAAGATACAATTTTCAGGAACGGGGAAGCGGCCCATCAAACAGCGTTCATTCAACACACACACACAAATTTGTTGTCCAGAACAGTAGTTTCAGGTGTAACCACTCTAACGTTCAATTGACTTCCCATACACTTAAACCAATCCTTTGGCTCTATCGATCAGATGTAAGAAGTATTCAGCCGGTCATCAATGGAAGCCTCAAAAGTGTAAGAAAACTCCCCAAGTTGGTTCTACGGTTCTACAACCGCTTGAAACCGACCTCCTGACCCGAGTTCGGGATCTCAGATACGAATGCACTCAAACTGCACAAGTCATTAAAGGATATCAGTCCACGTGAACATCGCAGTTACTCCACTTGGACCCGATTGAATCGTTTGAACTTTTACGTACCTGACTGAGCACCAGTTTCTGAAACTGCGTACGTAGGCTTAGAACAATTGAACTCGAACGTTTATTGTCTGTGCAGAAAAAGTTGGAATGGCTAATCTGTGCTTCACTTGAGCTCCATGTGCGCAGTAGTGGGTGGAAGCGAACGATTTATTTGCGGTTGACACGAACTGCAACAATGTTCCACAAGTTCATCAATTCCGTGAACCGTGCCACATGGACCATACGGTGAATGTTCTCGGTTGTACCGAACAAATGTTCCAGGGAACCAATCTTCCGATCAGTGAGTGAATAGATCGATTACACGTTGGTGATGTGACCTTGTAGAGGGCAGTTTTTTCAGTAATGAAAGCAATTAGTTCTACATTGGCAAAACGAATTGGGTTCTGTTTAAACACGGATATCAGTTAGGGGGAATCTGAAAAGGGAAAAATTTAACAGGTTTTAACAAAGAACGGTCTATGGAAATTTTCGAGGATCAAATAGAGAATCAGTAGTAATCTTCTTGAAAAAAGTGGAAACTCTGCATTTTAGTGGTTAATTTGAGCAAAATGTACTTCACTTCGTAGATATTGCACGCCCATTTGAACACACGGATGTACAGAATTTTCTTGAACCTAGGACAATATCAAGCGTTTTTTTTACCGACCTTTTCCTGATCAAAAGAATTCCGTCTACCCACTTCGCCATGGAACAGCTTGAAGTCAGCGGGACACGCGGGGGGGGGGGGGGGAGGTTGAACCTCATTCACGACTGCTAGTTACCGGTAATCTTTGAGATTAGTTCAGTTTTCTTTAATGCAACAGAACACCTCATCTCGCTGGACAGCACCGATCCCTTGTGGTATCTGTGCGGAAAACCACAGGTTATTTATGTTTTTCCGTACATGGCAATCTCAGTAAATTTTAGATCGACATCCCGCACCCCATTCTTAATCGTAAAGAATACTGCAAGTTAAAAGTACAACTTGAAGTTTCTATATTTTGAAAGTAAACAAACTACTATGGGTATAGGAGAAACAGAGTGTTCTGATTGGATTTCCATGAATTCGAAGAGACAACGATTCAGCGTTTGTAACTGCCTGTTGTAACTATGTAAAAATAGAGAACGGGGCAAATAATCAAACTCCAGAGAGGAAAATAACTAACCGATCGGTCATAGTTGAGCTAGTGGTTGGGGAAACTATGTGTGTGTTTGTGTGTGTGTGTGTGTGTGTGTGTGTGTGTTGGGGAGGTATCGATAACAAGGTGAATGTTTTTCCGCTGAATTCAGTTCGCATGTGCCCCAGATACCATTAAAATATTCCACAATGGGAAGTCCGTGAGTCTTATTCTGAGTGAGGCATGAAAGTTGAAAAATTTGATTCACGCTGGAATTATGAGACACCCATGCATGCAACACAAAATCAACGAGATGAGCAGAGAAAACGTGCGGGCAAAGTAAATTTGTAAATGTTGGAGGAGATGAATAGGAGCTCAAGTGCAGATTTGGGACGCAGATATACAAGCGCTTTTGTGGCCGTTGAAAACAACCGGGGTTGCGGTGTCCCAAAAAGCGACTTCACTAGGGTTTGAATTGAACTAGATACACACGTAGAAAAGTTAATCATGAATAGTGATAATGGTGATGCTTATCATGAGTAGTAATTATGATGACGATGATGATGATGATGATGAAGTGTGCACAAGTGCTGTAAAGAGTAGAAAAATGGGTGAAATCATGAGCAAAATCACAACCAAAATCAAAGATCTGGCAAGCGGAAAAATAGCGAGTTGAAGAAAAAGCAAAACCTCGAAGTACAATGAATTTCATTGAAAATGATTTCAAAATGCACACACACACACACATCAAGATAAATCATCACAGGACAAGTTTTACCTTCAAGTGATGAAAAATCGATAGTGCTAAATTTGAAATTTGAAATGCCAGCGTTAAATATGTAGATTTGCCTTCACACCTTACTCAATGGTGAGCTTGTGCTACTATGTTTAATTTCCATCTAACGAGAGCTTTGAGGAACATGCAAATGGCGTTGCTATCGGCTTTCTTTACGGTCTTTGCCAGCAGATTTTTCCAAGGCTAACAGATTTCTCAACCAATCGATACACAAAAAAGGAAATTGATTTCATTTTATCAGACGTAATCCCTATCATCGTTTTTAGCGACTTTGAATTATGCGCATTGATCAATTAATTTTTGATATAATATTAAACAATGGAGTTGAACTGGTCTTTTAGATATCTTAATGAGCAGAGGAAGAATTCAAAATGCTCCCTGTTTTGAGCCACAGTTGAATCCAGTTCTATGCAATGTGATCGGTTTTCAAAGTGTAGTGGTCATGTTCTCTCACGATTCGGAATTTCCCATTTAAATGAAACTTGGTAATTCAACGCCTCGAATGAAGCAATTAATCTGATTCAAATCGATTCACTTACGCTTCCCAAAGCATATAACTGCGCTTTTTCCAGTTTTATTTAAATTATCAAGCTTGAATTAACCAATTTGATTATTCAGAGGCACCAAACACTCTTGATGATCTGGGTGTGGGTATGGGTTTCAATCCTTGGGAGATCATTGATTTCCCACGAGGTAAATCGCATTCAGATGCGATGAAAATGTTTGCGATGATCGACAAGGAGCCCTGGACAGCTGTTTTGTCCTGTTTGAGACTCGTCAGTAGTGCGTAATTTTTGTGTCCCTATCAATAGACAGACCGCAAACATTCGGGTCGGGACTTCAAACCCTTAACCCTGACTGTTGATGAGTGCCAAACAGGACGAAACAACTGTCCCAGTGCTCTTTGTCGATTATCACAAACATTCACATCGCACCTGAATTCAGTTTTATTGTTTGATCTTTTTAATGGAGGAATCAGCTTTAGTTGAAGCACAACGTCTTCAACACATTTTTGTCAAACTGGCCTCCCATCTGCCGCAGCGTTCATATTGATTACTTTATCCGAGGTTAACGGCGACTTAGAAATATGTCAAAACAATCAGTTGAAAGACGAACGTAAAACCCTACCAAAAGATTATTCTTCACTGGAACCTTTTAAATCTGCTGGTTTTGTTTTGTTTTGTGTTTGAACGAGCTGTGAGATCGCGAAACAAATGAGCTATCGCTACCTTGAATATTGACGAGCATATTTTGAGAAGAGTATCAAAAAAGCCGCTTCACGTGATCCACGAGTTATCGATACGCACAAAACCGACAATGCAACTAGTCGATGAATCACGTGATTTCGGCGCAGAGAGCACATCAAGTTCAACCCTAGCCTAATAGTCAAACAAATCAGTATGTCGAACTTCAGTACGTGAACAAGGAATGAGCTCACTCGTCTTGATATCAGTTGGGTCGAGAATTTACTATCACCTTGATTTTATATACAACTAACCGGTTCAGAATCAAAGTGAAAACTTTCCCCCCAAGGGCACAAGCTGAATTGGTTCACACCGTATAGAACAGACCACATCTATAAAACCTCCAACCCTGTAGAGAAACTGGAAAAATATATCTCATTTCTACTTCCTTACAAAGTAAACAGAACACATGGTCGTTTACGCTGATCAGTAGTCACTGTTACCCCTCTATACCTTGATGGGAAAAATACAATGGCAGAGAACATATCATAAGTTGGTAGTTTTTCTCGACAATCCGAGTTGGTGGAGCCAGCACAAGCACTTGTCGTAGTGTTCCTGTTGGGGTTTCCCAAGCTTTTGTGCCCTAACACAACATTCATGTTACTTAAGAATTAACATTTAATATTCCACTTTCAACCCTCTTCATGTCATAGCTAATGTGGACGCCGCTCTTCATATTTTAACTATACCACTCATCTTCCTGTAATAAATTCAATGTACTCAACTAAGCGATTTTAGTTCTCAAACTAGTAAGAGCCTAAGGTTTATCTGACCGAGTAACATGGAGGCATTTGTCACGCTGCTTTTCTATCTGTTTCTCCAGAGCGTGATGTTTACCGCCAGTTTCATAAATTTCAAAGTTTCCATCCCAGTTTCACACCTTGTTGCTTTCTTCTCGAGGCTTCAGTTTGTTTTCTTCCTTTTATTTGGACCAGGCCTATTTTGACGCTTGTCTCACTTACGTCTTTTAGCGATGAAAGCGTGGGCACACAATCACCTGTCCACTTTTTCCGTCGGTGTGCACTCTTGAGTGGGATTTTGTTCAACTCCAAAGACTGGCTTGACCACGTCCGACGAACGTTTGTGTAGCCTGTTGGCGTGCCAACACAGTGTGTTTGCTCCTGTTCATCACTCGCCTGCTACCGAGCTCATTTGCTTTTCTTTCGTTTCACCTTTTGGTCATTCATATATCGTCGATTTGTACACTTTTACGGGCACCTGTGGTTCCATTCCGCCTGCGCGCCTTCCCGGTTCTCTCATCTTCTGTTAGTCATCATTCTTCACAATGTTGGCTTCATTTCATTTACCAGTCCCAACAATCGTGAACCTGTGAAAAGCCTTCATCTTTTCTCGAAACCGTTCAGCACAGGATAAAAAAGCTTATGCAACATTAATATTCCCCTATCCGCACCCCCTATCCCAACACACTGTCCGGCTTTTGTGGGCTAGGAGCATGCTTTGGTTTTTCCATCCACGGTAATCGATATGTACTTACTATGAGACAGAAAGCATACAAGGCCGTGAACTGGGGTTGTCTGGATTCGTTCACGATTTCTTGCATTTGGGTGAAAATTAGGAATACAGAATGGAAGGAAATAGAACTATAAAAGATATCCCGATTGATGTGATTCGCTTCAATCAATGAGAATAGTGCATCCTGCACGACTCCTGTATAATCCCGTTCGCCGGATCACATTTTCCGTGTTCCTTTTCAGCTCTCGTTCAGGAGTTATTACAAGAGCAATGGATTAATCAAAACCAGACAGATGCGTACACATCCGGTGAATGGACCACATTCTACTGTGAAGTGGAACCAAAACGTTTCAACGCGTCGCTGGACCAGTTCACAACACATTTACTTAATCCAAAGTTCGAGATGGAACAAATTGAAGCACAATTGAAGCTGATCGAACAGGGTGAGTCAATCGTTTGTAAAACAAATGATGATAAAAGTCTGTTTGTGAGGATTAGACCGGCAGGGATCACTGATCACATGGTTTTGTCTTGGTACTTCAAGCAAACAAATTGTACAGCACTTATGCATACTTCAATGAAAGGCCAGTATTCTATTGTTATGGTCGAATTAACCAGTGAAGTCCTCTGTATTTTAAATTGTATAAATTACGTAACCTTATATGATTACAGTTTAGTAAAAAAAAATGTAAATTGATCCTCACTTGGAATAAAATATACAGTTTCATATAACATGCTACGTAAAGAATGTCGCTGAAGTTTGTTTCAAGTGCAAAAATTTTGACGTAGTTCATTTTTGGCTGTTCCTTTTTGGTTAGGAGTCAGTCAAATTAAGGTGCAGGGGAATTTTTATAGATGTTAATGCGAGAGGGTAGGTGCCGAAATGAGGAGCCTGCCGGCGGATGGAAATGACAAAATGATAGCTCGTGATTCAGGGGATGTTGAGGGTTGTCTAGAATCTTATTGGCAAATTTAACACGAGTTGATGTTACCATTAATGAGTTCTG